ACAGTAAAATGACTGTTATTATAAAAAAAGTATAACCCTCTATTGTATATGCAACGCCACTTTATAACAACGTAATACCGCCTAATCAAAAATGATTTATATATTCTCATTTTAAAGAATGGAATTTCTTTTTTCCTTCTTAGACTTCATTGCCTCTATTTACAATACAAGGAGAATTTTTCAAGGGGGCCTTCTAAAGCCATTTTGCTTGAACTTAACCGTTCGTTATTGTTGAGGCAAATGAATGTTCATAAATTAGTTAATTTCAAGCGTGATGGGAGATTTGTGCATTTGAAAAAAAAAATGCATCCTTTAACTAAAATATTACCGTTTGTTTTTTTTCACATAATCTGATAACAATGGCATTAATTTGACAGGCATTTATAGAGAAAATCTGAAACAATATATAAAGGAAAACTACGAAAGAAATAAAGTATAATAATAAAACAGCGCCTAGAATTCAGGTAATAGTGAACACAAACACAATAACAAACACTTAGCAAGTCGAGGTACTCACAAATTACCATTGTATGCATCACGGAAACGGGTGTAAACACTTTCTAGAAACAACCAAACGATCCGTCGCACTCCATTTCATCAAATTAAAGTTTATTGAATGAAATGTCCTAAATATTACGGTCCTGGTTTTCTCTATAATAATTTAACCTTACTTTATAATAATAAGCCATCTTATTCGGTTTATAATCAAAAAAATATTAAATTAAAAATGTACCTTTGAAAATAAATAAGAACAAATAAATAATAGCCTATTACCCTGTATCTGTCAGCCGCAAGGCACACCAGCGGCTGGCCAGTCTTGAAAGACCGGACTTACTCCCTCGGAGTATGGGGGCGATCACGGCAATTAGGACCGCCCCGACGACGCCGGGCTTTCACTGGAGCCGGGTTACCAAGCCGACCCCAGTCCGGAGCACAAGAGTGCTATTGGAGGCGTTTTAATTGCCTGCGTCGCAACTCCGTACGACGTCTGCGGAGGGAGGGTGCATCAGCCGAATCCTCCCTTTTCCGCTCAGATGCCTCCTTTGTGGACATGATGGTCTCACAGAAAGAGGACACCGCCAGCCAGGACCAATCACTCTTGAGCATCTTCCTCGCGATACTCGAAAGCGACAAGTCCACTCCGGCGCCGAGAGCCGCCACGAGGTCATGGCGCTGCGCAGCCCATCTCGGGCTCATCTTGAGGGTGTCCAGGGCTGAGTCCACCGCAGCGAAACACTCATGGTAGCCTTCTCCCTGCTCTCTCCTGGCCGGCCGACATAAGTAGTAACCAAAGCACCCGTGCCCGGTGAAAACCTGCGTCAGACGGAAAGTGAGGGGATTGCGTTTCGAAGCGCTGTTGTTGGACGTCTACCGTACGGCTGCTCCGCCAGGTCCTCCCCCCACTCCCGCATAAGGCGCTCCTCCCCTTGCCGGCGAACCGCTCTGATTTCCTCCGACAAAGGGTCCTCGCCGATTGTCCTTCTACCCGACGCCACGAGATCCCAAGAAGGATCGCCGGATATATAAGACCTTGATATATAATTGAATCCTGTTTTCTATATTTATTTTAACAAGATAGATGAAAAATAACACAAATTACTTAATTTAAGCATTGACTTTTAATTCGACCGATCACCAACTAAACGGATATCTCATTAAATTACTCTGCGCCGTCACTGGTAGTCAAGTATTTTGTATTCGCTTGTTTGACTTTGAAAAGAAACCCTCTGATAACTACTTACTTTATAAAAATGATAAAAACCGATGTTAAATTCTGTAATAATTCACTATCAATGAATCGGTGAATCCATGGAATGCTGAGAAGCTTCGTCTCTTAGTCTTTGGTAAGTATTTTTCTCTGATTATTATTTTTAAAACTGCTACTTGAGCAAATCTCGTTACAAGTTTAAATTGGCATTTCTTAGTGTAATGGTTAGATGGGTAACTCGCTGCGGTGTCTTCATCACTTGTTCGTAATTCTTGTTTAAAATGTATGAAATACTGATGAGAAAAATCGCAACATTGTTCTTCTTAAGCATGGAATAAAAAGCTTTATTATGAAATAAAACTCTATAGATATAAACGTATAAATAATTGCGAAAGTATAGAATCGTTTAAAAATTACGGGATGTTGGTATTAAACATAAAAAAAATAATTCTGGGATCTAATAAATTTGTTCAGTTTTATCAAGTGAATGAAATTTATTTTTATCAATTCTCACTTTGAATAATGATGAAACATAAATAGAATAAATATTGATTTTATAACAAGTTTTTATTTAAGGTTCTCTCTGTATTTTTAATTGTTAAAGTAATAGGATTCTTAAGGAGAAACAGCATTACACGCACAAGTCATTAAGAGGTTGAGAAGACATTCATCATAAGTTGAATGTTTCTAAAGGAATTACCAAGTTTATTTGAGGGCCTAACATGAATAACTAAATTCCAGTTGAGTTACACAAGTAAAGGTATGAATAGATAAATTATACCATCTTATACCAAAATTACGTCTGTTATATAATTATATAAATATATCTTATATTATTGTTACATTCTTATCGTATTATTTTTATATAGGAGCCTTTAAGTACTTAATTGTATTTCTTATCAATGTCGCAATATTTTTTAACTAAATAAATTTCATTCACTATGAATTCTAGTCGAAGATAATAATTAAATTTTTATCCTATTATGGAATTGTTATTTTTTACTTATAACGCCAATAAAATTTGATAAGCATAAAGAATCCATAGTAAAAACCATGTGTTGTATTAAATAGAAATTATTACTTTACACAAAATTATTGAATACATTTATTAATGAAATTATGACATATTTATCTCAAACCTCAAAATAACGAAATGCTTATGTAAATATTATGAGAGAAAATTACAACGTCATGAGCAAACGTCAAAATTAAATTGCCACAAACATATTAACATTACTACATTCAATATACACGCAAATATTTCTAAAAAAAATATTTTTACTTTTATTTTATTTTATTTGAAATTGCACCGCTGTTTTTAAATGCATGCCAATAACACATATCATATTTCTGCTATAGGTAATTTTCTAGAACAGTGTGAATGAAGCCATAGCATAAAAAAATCGATAAAATTATTGTAACGCTTTAATTTGGACAGTGTAATAAAATTATTTATGTCTTCTAGACTTGAAAGCATTTGTACATGATATTATCTTTAAAATAAGAGGTGATATTCATTTCAAACACAATATACATTCCCAGTCGGCATAGTTTTTGTTGAAAAACAAATTAAGGACAAAATGTATTTATTTATATTTATTGTGTTTAATTATAAATCGGTTTTAATATTGACAATTATGTAAATATGACATTATTTTTTATAAAATATATAATATTTTTGATAAAAGTGATGAAGACACCGCACATAAATGGCGGTAAAGAATCTTTATCATCACAAATTGCTAGCGAAGAATAAGTCACGCTGAGTGATGGTTGAAGCACGGACATGCAGAACTTAAGAAAAGTAATTGGCTTTTTTAAATTAAAAAATTTCAAAATCTCCAACATAGAAAACGTTTTTTCTGTTTATTTAATAAGTTATATATATATATATATATATATATAATTAGGAATGCATGTCTGCTTGAGAATCAAGTGATAATTTTCTTATTAATCAATATTTCATACAAAATGAAAATGATATTTAATTTGCCATCCGATATCTATTATTAATTCAAATTGAATAAAACCCACCGAATATCATGAATACACAGTATTACTTGCGTAATATAATATAATTAAGTGTCTAGTAATATTATATGTAAAGATTCGGTAAATTAATTAAACTTTAATTTGTTTCAATATTTTAATATCTGAAAATTAAAATATTCACGCAAGTAACACTTAACTTATAAGTGCGAAGTAGCATGACGTGAATCGAACCGGAAAATTGTATAGCGAGCGACACCATTTCCATATCTTATCTTGTGTAATCGCACTCAGTTGTGTAGGCTCTTGTCTAAAGTCTGAGATAAAAGAACAAATAGTTCCTGAAAGTATAAACAATGAATAATACGACTATGTTGTTTTTTGATTAAAAAAAAACCAGCTAACGTAATATTTACTGTTATCTATCAAATTATTTAACTATTAGCACCACGATTTACATAATCAAAATGTGTGAGTACTTTTTAGGTATTATGTTTCTCAAATGAAACAAAATATATATATATATAATGTAGCCCTGTGACCATTAACAGTCAATTAGCCTGTGTTTCGATTTGACAACAATGAGGAACCATAGTTTGAGTACAGCGTGAAATTTATTCCAAACTAGCTGACCCGGTGAACTTCGTACTGCCCTATAATCAAGAAATATCTGTTACCTTTTTATCTAAGTAAAGTTAATTTCTTTATTTAGTATAGCTGACCCGACAGAGAATGTTTTGTCTTCTTAAATGTGATTATTGAATTCTGATTGGTATATTAACAATTCAAAATTATTCCGAAAACAAAGTGATTATTATTTTAATGCTTTATTCTAACTACGTGAATATTACTGCGAGTGACACATTATTTAAATAAAGAAGTGAAATATTCTAATTTTTTCTAGTAATTTTCACATTTTTTTTCTTACTTAAGAACCTTCTCCTAATAATAACAATTACAACAAAAGAAAAATTTCACTCGTGATGCCGTGACTAAGGGAAAAAGGGATTTATTTTTATATACATATATACTAGCGGCCCGCCCCAGCTTCGCATGGGTACATACACACACACATACACCCTTCTTTTTTGCGTCGGGTTTCAAAAAAAAAAACTAAAATTATTAAGGAAGTTTGAATTTTTTTTATTAATGTTTTTTTGTATTTTTTATTTTTAAATTTTATACAAATATCATGTGATCTACATAACAAAAGCCATTAGTTTTAGTGAGTCAGAGCTTCCCTGTAAACGATATTTGAAGTAATTTTATTTTATGGCAGCTTAATAAATTGATTGTAAGTCCGATGCCTGGGTTACGTAAGTTAAGAATTGGTTTTTTGAATCCAGGATCTCTGGGGACACACCATGACGAATTCATGCTGGCTATTAACCGCCATGATGTAGACATTATGGCCTTAAATGAAACTTGGTTGAGAGAGGGTGAGGAAGGGCGAGCACCAAATATCCCGGGATATCGTTTGCGCCACAAACCGCGTCCTGCTGAAGTGCGCGGCCGTGGTGGGGGTGTGGGCTACTATATTAGACGAGGAATAACAGCACGAACCCTCATTCAATCTTCAACATCTCCGGACATAGAACAAATGTGGCTTAGTGTGATCGTGGGAGGGAAAAAGTTAGTGATCGGCACTGCATATCGACCTCCTTGGCTAAATCCATTTAAGTTCTTCGAAGGACTTACGGAGATGTTCACTACACTTCCTGTTCATGACCATGTGGTTCTGGTGGGTGATTTTAATATTAATTTTTACGAATCTGATAATTACTGTACACGTACGCTATGTGAGTTCTTAATGTACACGAATCTCAAACAGATTGTTAATAAGCCTACTCACTTTACTGCTCACAGTGAGACATTAATAGATTTAGTCTGTGTAGATGGTAACACTAGTGAAGTATGGGTAGACTATATACATGAGCTTAGCAGTCATGCGTTCTTATCATTTGAATTTAATATACGCAAATATAAACCTAAGCCTCTTCGAAAATCTTATAGAAAAATTAGTAGCATTAATGAAAATGATCTCAAAAACTATTTAACAAATTTCAATCAACAATGTCTTAATATATATGACGTCAATAGTCTTGTTTCTCAATTTAATAGTATGTTATTATCTGTTTTCGATTCCTTAGCACCTCAGTTATGTGGACTTTTTAAAGAGTCCCAATATCCGTGGATTACTTACAACATCAACGAAATGATTCGTACTCGTAATGAGGCACACATAAGATCGCGACATACTCAGAAAGATACTCACATAGCGTACTATAAGGATCTGAAATCAGAAGTTGAACTAGCAATTCATAGAGAGAAGGGTGCATATTTTACTCAATTCATAAATAATAACGCTAAGAGACCGAAGTTCATGTGGAAGCATTTAAAGAATATTTTAGCCTATAAGAAAAAACGGGATACCACGTGCCTACCAGATCATTTGTCAGAACCGAATAATTTTAATAGATTTTTTCTAACCTTGCCCGGAAATAGTGACGTGGCATCTAGTGACATACATTACTACACGAAAAATAGACATTTCTCTAATTGCTTCGTTCTAAAACAGGTAGACGAGATAACAATTCTAAAAACTCTACGGAGTATTAAATCTAAAGCGATAGGAGCTGATGGTATTTCTATAGATATGATTTTATGTGGTTTGACGTATATTTCGGATACCATTGTAAATATTGTAAATACGTCTATTCGGACTAGCACCTTTCCTGAACTATGGCAGAAAGCAATTGTAAAACCCGTACCCAAAGTTGATAACCCCCAAAATATTAGTGACTTCCGGCCCATTAGTATTCTACCCACCCTATCAAAAGTTTTAGAAAAAGTAGTGTGCTCTCAACTTACACAATATTTAGAAAGTTGTGACATTCTTCCATGTGTTCAGTCAGGATTCAGAAAAGGTAGAAGTACTTCTACAGCTCTAGCTAACGTAGTTGACGATATATTAAGAGCACAAGATTCAGGAGAAGGCACCATATTGGTACTTCTCGACTTTTCACGTGCATTTGACACTATAAATTTAACATTATTATTAGCCAAGCTCCATTATTACGGATTCAGCACAGACACTATTAGATGGTTTGACAGTTATCTCAATAATAGGTCACAGGTCGTAGAAGTAACTCGGGAGGATGGGTCTAAATGTGTTTCCAGTAGTAGAGCTACCACAAGAGGGGTGCCACAAGGCTCGATCCTTGGGCCTGTGCTCTTTTCTCTCTATTGTGCCGATATCATAAATTCCATTAAACACTGTAATTATCATATTTATGCCGATGACGTACAATTATACATATCTTTTAAACCTACAGACTTACACATAGCTTTAAATAAGCTCAATGAAGACTTAATAAGAATTACTGCATGGTCCAATTCAAATTGTTTAATGTTAAATCCGAAGAAAACCAAATTCATGATTTTGGGTACGCCAACTCAGATACGGAAAATTGCAATCTTATCACCAACTATAAAACTAAATAACATTGAGGTCGAACGTGTCACAGAAACACGCAATCTGGGAGTAGTAATGGATGAGAATCTACGATTTGATAAACACATTACGCTCTCTATTAGTAACTGTTTTTATCGTTTAAAACTATTATATCAAATACGAAAATATATAACACCTAAACTAAGAGTAGATTTATGCGAGGCTCTTGTATTATCAAAATTAAACTATGCTGACATAGTAACAGGTCCCAGGTTGCTTGTGCGTACTAAGAATCTTATCCAAAAAGTACAAAATGCCTGTGCTAGATACTGCTTTAACATTCCACCACGCTCACATGTTACGCCATTTTTGAACTCTGCTAAGATGTTGAAGATGGACTATCGCAGACAATTACACTTCGCGACTTTATTGTTCGGGATAGTGAAGTACAAAATGCCTCCATACCTCTATCACAAATTAAAATGGGCTTGCGAACAGAGGCTAACTCACGAAACACGAGCCTCACCATACTCGTTGATCATGCCACTATTTAAGACCGCAGCCTTTCGAGGTAGTTTTATTTACACGGCGACAAAGTGCTGGAATAACCTGCCGCCACCTTTTCGAAACCTAAAAACAACAAATGTATTTAGAAACAAATTTAAAATGCATTTAATGAATTTACAAACTCAGTCTTAATTATTTAAACATATTATACATTATGTGTGCCGTGCATTGGTCGTGTGTAAATTCTTACCTTATTAATGTGGCCACTATATGAATAACACAATAATGTCGTTCACAAAACCATTTTATGATGATATTAAGAAATATTATTTTTGTAACTTACCCACTGTAGCTTTTATGTCTTAGGTATATTTATTCTAGTTTCCAATAATATTCTTTGTTAGGTTATTTGTTCTTAGCTATTATACACATTTTTATTTTTTATTATTATTTTTTTTTTCTCACTACCTGCGACGTGGCGTGCGTAGGTGCTGGCAGCCACAGAATACCAGCGTTGAAAGTCATGATAATGATTTTCAACATAAGCTGAGTGGCCTACCAATTTAGGCATCACTTTCTCGTTGTTATTTTTTTTTATACTGTTTTTTATATGTTAACTGTGTATGTCTAAATAAAGATTTTTTGATTTGATTTTTTGATTTGATTTTCAGGAGCTCCGACACGTGATAGGCCAACATACAGTTGGCCATGAGTGAAACATTCTTTTCGTAGGTCGATCCCTAATAATTCGAAGGTTTGGCCTTGGGACTTGTTAATAGTTAACGCGAAAGATGATTTGATCGGAAACTGAAGTCGTTTAAAAGGGATTGGCAGGTCAGTTGGGATCATCGGTATCCTCGGTATATGAGCTAGTTGACCAGCTGCTGGGCCAGTGATAATGGTCGCTACAATTAAATTGTCCTTCAATCCCTTATAAACAGTCTCGTTCCATTGCACATGCTCGGAGGGCTTAAATTTCTTAAAAGCATTATTGGAATTCCAATTTTTAACGTCAATGCATGTGGTGGCATACTGTGTATGGTGGTACAGCTGATCTGCGTCTGAAATGAAATATACCTGCAGGTATTGTGGATTTTGACCTTATGGTGGAAAAAGGCTATTTATAAGGTGATATACTTGTCCCTGTATTTTAAAAGTCGGCATAATTTTTTTTTTACATTTATCCAATCCAAAAGCCAATCTATTACTATAAGCTAAAACTCGATTACGGACTCTAGTCGTTGACATCTCTCTGTCTGTCTATCTCGCTGATCTCCAAGGCGTTGGAAACGCTCAATACTCGACTCTCGCGCGCGTACTTGGGATATTCTCAAATTTTGTTCAGCAAGCCGCTGCGAACGCTCGATACTCGACTCTCGCGCTCGTACTTGAGAGTTTCTCAAATTTTGTTCAGCAAGCCCCTGCGAACGCTCGATACTTGACTCTCTAGCACGCGATTGCGACTCGTATTCTCTCCGACTTGCAAGGCGATTTTCAGTTTCTGATGACGATATTTCATTACGCCGTATTTTTATTGCCCTCGCCTGGCAACTGTGTTAAAAAGTTGAGATATTGATCTCTTTGGCATTTTTGGGCATTATAAAATGAAAAATAAAAGGAAATAAATAATTAAACAGGCTTTTACTAAATCTTTGCTTGTTGAACTATATAAAGTACTTAGCTTTTTGAATAATTATAATATAATATTTATTATCAGGTAAGTAGTAGGTACTCAATAAAAGAATATGCAAAATATGGTTTTAGAAAACTACCTTTTACTAAATTTTTGCTTAAATTTTGAACAGGAATACCTATAAACTACTTCTATTAGCTGTTTGAATAGTTACATTAAAATATAATATTTATTATCAGGTACTTATTTACCTACGAAACGAATTTAAGCGAATTCAAAATTTCTTTAAGCTAAAATCATACGATCACGCAAACGAAAGCTGCGTAGGGAGCCTACCGCGCGGCCTTTTATTTTATTACATTAACTCTCCTCCCCGTACCCCACTGACGCTTACATGGAGCCTACATCGCATGCTGGCTAGCTGAGCGCGGTGAGCGGCAACCACGCGACTTTTTTCTAATACCTACTTGCGTTTTTAAACTTGTGATATCTTCCGAATGAAATGTCCGAATTGAATAATTCAAAAAGTTATAAAAAGGTATTGAAGCCGTCTTGAACATAAAGTAATTTATTTTGATAAGGATTAATACCAAGGTACAAATAAAGAGCCTTTTCAAGCGGCGGCATATAAATAAAATTTATAGAATAAAAAAACCGCTTACTGTGACATAACTATAATATTTAGACATAATATACTGTCGCGACACTTTTTGTAGATAATGATGAGTTCTGCAAAGTCGTAGTAAATGATTTTGTTCTATCATCAATAGTTTTCGCAGCGCACGCGACGTAAGGAATTTTTCAGGTCATTTTTTTACACCTTGGGTTACATTATTGGAGTTATAGTAAGGGTCCCTAATTTTTTTTAATATACATAATATAGATCATATTACTCGGGAATAATGTAGCTTTCCAAAGGTGAAAGAATTTTTGAAATGGGTCGAGTAGTTTCGGAGCCTATTCATTACAAATAAACAAACAAATCTTTCCTCTTTATTTATATATATACTAGTTTTTGCCCGCGACTTCGTCCGCGTTAGTTTGTTCAAGAGTAATATATGTAGGTGTAGCTGACCAGTCGAACTCTATTCCGTCTTACAGGCCATAAATAATCAGGTTTTTCCTGTTTCAATCAAACAGAATTGACATATTAGTTAGTTGTCAAATCTAATGTCAAAAAAAACTTTTGTATGGGAAATAGAAAAGGGCTGTTTTTATGGTTTTCCCAGTAATGAATCAATTTTTCTCACCTTTTAAACCTTCCCTGGACTTCCAGGAGTAAAATTAAATTAAGTAAAATTAGTATTTCAAGACTAAAATTAGCCAAATCCGTTCAGCCGTTCTCGAGTTTTAGCGAGACTAAGGAACAGCAATCCATTTTTATATATATAGAAGATATATATATATAACTAGAAGACCTGGCGAACTTCGTGTCGCCCTATAATCGAGAAATATCTATTACGTTTTTTTATTTATATTTTTGGAGTTTACCTGTAAGCCATAAATCTCAGTGTTTTGAAGTGTGACAGAATGATTGACATATTAGTTAGTTGTCAAATCTAATGTCAAAAAAAACGTTTGTATGGGAAATAGAAAATGGCTGTTTTTATGGTTTTCCCAGTAATGATGATTTTTTTCAGCTTTTATACCTTCCCTGAACCTCCACGAACATTTCAAGACTAAGATAAGATAAATCCGTTCAGCTGTTCTCGAGTTTTAGCGAGACTAAGGAACAGCAATCCATTTTTATATATATAGAAGATAGATAGATAGATGTGAAATTTTGACATTTGCACTGATTCCCAACTGTTTAATAATAAGGTACAAAATATAATATCCTTTGCATAGTTGTTCGATTGGAATCCTTAACAAATTCTAGTATAATTTATATAAAGAATGTAAAATAAATAATAACGATATAGACTATTACCAAAGTGTAAACTCATAAAAGCGTCAATGATGAGGCCAATGTATGAACAAATGAGATGCTGAACTGCGGGTGCATTGAATTCACTGCGGTTAATTGTTATTGTTATTTATGGAAGCACGGATGCCAAATTAATATAACTACTATTTGAAGTTTCCGCTGTATTATGCAACTAGCCTCGTGGAATAAGTTGCCTGATTTTCGATCGTGACTATACTTACTCTTGTTCGTTGCTATGACAACCTATTCACTCCATATTTGACCTGAATTCATAGCTATACCTACATACATTTTACCTATTATGTGTTGTGCAATAATTAAAAAATAATTCACACATTACGTTCCCTTAGATGTAGGCTGAAGTTATATTTCAGTAGATCTTATTACTAAACTTTAAGAGTGTTTTCGTAATAAAAGTAAAGAAACTCTCATAAGCTTCCACACTTACATAACTAATAATACATACAATAATAACTAAAATTACCAGATAATACATAACATATTTTGCTTTAGCTACTTTAATTCCGTAAGCTTGTAATGAAATAGGACAATATAGTAAATGCCGTTTATTGGTGATGCAGGGATCAAACATATTTGAGTTAGCACTAGTTGGAACTTTCAGTTTTTTGTTGCAAAGTTAATATTTATACCAATTGTGAATGGCCTATACCATATCCACTTTTGTATTGTGAGTTCTAAAAAGGCATCTACATACAAATTTAGTGTTGTTTTTTCTTTAATTTCCAAGCTACTCTATATAGTAGATTGTAAGAAATCTCTAAATATAAAGTTATGTGAAATTTAAACTGCGTTGAATGCGGATTGACAGAAGAGTGGGAAGTGAGAATATTATTAAAAATATTTAATAAATAACTTGATTTCAAATTAAATATAAACAAACGAAACTTATTATGAAATTTCAAAAGTTTTGATTAAAATAATAATAAAAATAATTTGAAAATTTCTATCGCATTAACCATTTTAATCCATTCAAATAATAATGACATTTCGATATATTTCGAGAATTATATAATTTTTGTTTGAAATTTTCCTTTGATTTTTGTTTAAAATGAGCGGAGTAATGTAGATCAACAAAATTCACATATTTTATATGTTCATAAGAAATAATTTTTTTAAACCTTTTATTTAAAATTTAATTTATATTTATATATAAGAAGTCTTAAAATTAAGTCAAAATCTTAAAGTAGCAAAAACAACTAAATCCATGCATCTTTTTTGACCTAGGTCGTTTAGGTAACAAAATCAGTAATTAGGAATACTAACAGAATTATGTTATTGTTCCTAATTATGTATTGATCTGAAAGTAAAATAAAATTAATTTAATTCTATAATAACAAATCTTAAATTTCGCAAGTACTCACTCTTGTGAATAACATTTTCAAATAAAGTTGTAGATGATTCTTGATAATGAATTCAGTCCAGAAACAAACCACTTTGGTATCTATAAAATACCTAATCTTTGTGGAAAATCTTGAAATTCTCTTCAATTTTATCAATAATTTAATAAAAGAAATGAAGGATATTGTTACTAAATACTATTCAGTTTGCTAATAAACGCAAGTTGAATATTGGCATCAAATAACGATACATTTGGATATACTACATTAATGTGTATGGATCGTTTGTACTCGTCCATAATAAGAATAAAATAAACAGTATATTATATTATAGTATTTATTTTATAAACATACTTATAATTATTTGTAATTTAAATCAATCCTGATACAATTTAAATTTCACAGTTTACTTACTTTATTCTTATGACATAGAGATTAATTAATTATTATTATCAACACCTAAATTGGAAACTATGAAATTCTTCATTTTATGATCTTCAATTCTAATATCTCTACAACAATTGAGATGAAAATGTCAACGATTCGAAATTTAATATCAATTTGCATATATCCTAAAATCCAAAAAAAAACTCTTTAAAATATTTTTTGTGATAAGCAAACTTATAATAAATAAGTAAGTCATTATAATGAAACATGTACGAATATAATAAAAATTAGATAATCACACAAGCACATCACAATCACCACATTTTGAGGTGGCAGAGCCTAGCTGTAGTCAATTTACTAAAGCTCGAACATAGGCTGGCTCGACCGGGGAAGTACCACCCTCTCACAGAAAATCGGCGTAAAGTAGTCTTTAAAGACTGCGTTTCGTTCGGTGAGTGAGAGAGCCGGTTGGCCTTTCCCTTTTCCCAACCTTTCTTTTCCCTCCCTTTCCCACCTTTTCCTCCTCCTTTTCCCCAACAAGGGCGGCAACACATTCGCAAATCTACGTTGCGCATGCCCATGGGCGACGGTAACTACCTACCATCAAGTAGGCCGTCTGCTCAGTTGCCCATAAAAAAAAAAAACAAAATACTAATTTGACAATTTGCTACACTAAAGTCTCTTAAACATAAATTATGGTTCTCTACAATCAATCACGTAACTAACTTGGGAATGACGTGTTCCTCTCTCCGATACTTGTCAATATTTAACATCTTAGGTCTAGTGACTGGTGACTCTTAAAGAGTATAGAGAGGATCTAATTTTTCTTTTAGCAAAAAAATATTTTTTCCCAACCACCCTAACTCAAATGATTATTGGAGATAAAGATTAAAAGATTTTATTAAATATTTTAGATATAATATAATAAGGTAATATAGCTTTGTAAAAAAATATAGAATAATTTAGTTTCTAATAAATGTGAATTGAAAACTTACTTAATCGGGCTTACAAATATATTCATCTACAATTACGTGGTAATTAAAAATGGAAAGATTATGAACCGTAGTCGAAGTGGAAATGGAAAATAAATTATTCTGTCTAACCTTATTTTTTGTAATTTAACAGACCCTTGCATTACTGATATTTAACAAACCATTAGTGAAATCATGTCTTAAATATTACTTTACTCAGCGGTAACGTAGACCACACAAAAACGAGATTTAGTCATAGATGATAAAATATTTGTAGATATTTGAAGATATGGTTTATATTTTCTAAATATAATTTTTACTTTGTAAATTCATATTCCTGGTACATATACATTAGGTTAGTTTAACAAAATAATAAATATTTAGAATTATAATTTAAGTAAGCAACTCAAATTTTATCCGTAGCTACTTTAACATCTTACATTTACCCG